TTGCAGCAGAGCAGCATGGAGTGCATCACTGTTTTCTTCTTATCCTTTTACAGATTGTCAAGAATTAAAATAATCATTCAAGGTTTAGAAGGCAAATGACATACAGGTAATCCTTTCAGACTGCTTTGTCAAACTCTTCGAATTAGATGTTGTGTCTAAAAGAGCTGAATAGTTCACCAGTTACAATGTGTATGAATGGTTTTTGCGTTGATTGGTATCAGATTATGATAGCGGATCCCTGGTTAGATCACGAGTCAGCTTAACACCTTTATTCATCAGTGCACATTTGTCAGTCTCCCGAGGAAAACTACGCATCTTTGTTACTATTCAAGTGCTAAGCCAAAAGGGAATTGATCAATTTCTAGTTGCAAAAGGTTGGCGTGTCACCAGTTCATCATCATATTTGTACAGCAATCTGATTGTATGATCTTTATATGAGGGCAAATTCATAGTATGTGAGTGGAGTTTTAAGAACACTCAAGTTGAAAAGAACACAAAAAATTAGTGAAATATGACAGCTGAAGTAATCAAATTCAATTCGCTAAAATGCTTTCAACTATGGAACCTCAACTGACTGAGAAAACTGCTCTTCCACCCTAATAACATCATTCATTTCCGCCAAAAATGAAATTCTCCAAGAAAATCACGCTAAAATACAAGGAAAAGCTAACTATAAAATGGCTTTAAGGCTCATTTCAATGTCTTTAAACCTTTTAGAAAAATGGATATGGTCCTTTTTTTGCCTGTTTACAAGATATATAAGCTTAGAAAAATAAAAAAGAGAGTGATCAATCCCTCACCTTGCTACTCTGGCTGGAAATGGAATCCATCTCTTGGGTTCTGCAATCCAACCGACTGTCCACTGTCTATGGCTCTCTGCAGCCTTTGTCTTCAAATTAATGGATAGGAGAAAGAAATGCAGAGATATTTTACTTAAGCTAGTTTCCTAATCCTGACTCAACAGTCAAACTTAATACCACCAGGGTTGAAGGCCAAATGTCCCACAATTACCATGTTTCATCCTCATCTCAGATTGAGCCAGGAACTGGATTATATAGCTAGAACCAGGCATGAAGCACGCGGGTATTTTATCCAAAATGTCTTCATATTCGAGGAAGGGCAAGAAGCAACCATCATATAGTTTTCTGTCATAAACCACCCAACCACCCACCGGTCGGTGGGGTTCGGTTTTTTTCATTGTTTCACACTTGTTTGGTTTGGTATTGGCATAATCTTTTGAGTTCTCGGTTTTACTTTTTACCCAGGTGGTGATTTGGTCAGGCAAAAATTTCTCCTGCTTTATACGTTCAAGCTGAATGATGATATCTTAGATATTGCATGATTAAACTTTTCTTGAAAGCAACCTGAGATAATCTTACACGACAGAAATGATCACATGGTAGCCAGTGGAGCACTATTAGTAATGTGATCGATCCCAAAAAGTTGTAACTTCACCAAAAATATGGTCCTTTCAAGCCTTTTTTTTTTTTAAGAATACAAACAATAAAAGGAAAACGGAAAAGATGAAACTTCACCAAAGATGAGCCCCTCACCTAGCAGTCCATTTCTTGCCCTTTTTTCCCAAGCAAACTGTCTATGAGCTCCATGCTGCCTCTTTCTTGAAATTAGCACTCCTACTAGGAGAAGAGATGGGAGTCGTGGACAAATATTTCTTTTATTTAGCACAGTACATATGAATATGACATGGCCTTTTTTCTGGATCAAGTGTCCTACTCCTGACTCAGCACTAAAACATCACAAGACATTTACAACTAAGCCAAATGTCCCTACCATCCTCATGTGTCAATCTCATCTGCCAGAACCACCGCATGGTTTTGGATAAACAAAACCACCGCATGCCACGCATGGTTTTGGATGGAACAATAACGCCCTAGTGTTTGGATAACAGACTATTTGAAAAAATGTTATAACACTTTTATGTAAAATAAATAGATGATTGAAATATATCGATGATACAAACAAATAAATATTATAGCACTTTTATGTAAAATAAAAAAATGATTGGTTGAAAATTATATCGATGATACAAGCAAATAAATTTTGATAAATAATCTATTATCCAAACAAAACCCATTATGTATATTTTAGCAATAATGATTCACTCCCAATGATTGGTGGAATCAGAGACTAAGGAATGATTTGCATTTAAAAAGATAGATAGTTTTTTATACATTGTCAATGTAAAAATATTTTATACAAACAAGTTTAGATCATGTCACGGAACGTGAATTTAAATTTAAAATTCAAATTATTTATATGTGGTATACATTCAAAACTGTTAGTGTAAAAAACAAAATCACTACATTATTGTCAGTGCATAAAAAGTTAATTCTAAAAAGATACCACTCTTATATATTTTAAATTTTTTTGTTTGCGGATGGAATGTAGGATGACTCTAATATTTTACATGAACAAAAAATTAAAGCTTTTAAGGTGATGCTGAAAAATTTATAACATTTTGGGGGAGAGAGCAAAATCTAATTTCTACTACAATATAAGTAAAAAGCTTGATTGTTTTAAAGTGCCATAAAAAGATTTCTAAAATCTTGGAGCAGCAGCCCCTTAAAAAACAAGAAATTAGTCCCAAGGCCTTGGAACAATTGGGACAATGATCTCTTTGTTATTGTCCAAGTTGCCAAATTTATTACTATCAACTTTCCTCATATTTTTGGGGCATGATTTTTGGGACTTTTGTTTTATCTTCCCCTAGTATACGTGAAATGTGTTATAGTCTTATAGATGTCCATCAAAGCTGTAAATGAATGATTTTCAGATCGAAGTAAGTTGGTGAAATGTGGTTGAACATCTATTTTGCATTTTGCTTCGTGGTGACAAAGAGATTGTAAACATCATTCAAAGTTCAAATACTTGTTCGACGTGAATATTATCAACGGTCTTTCGGACGGTGTCATATGGACACTCGTTAAAATATATTTCAAGTGTTAAATTTTTAAAAATATAAAATTAATTAGTGAAAACATATAAATGCAAGGGAATTAATTAAAAAAAAGTGTATATATGTAGGAGAAAGTAATAATTATTAGTGTGTATATATATGATAAGTTGGATAGAATATAGGGGTATTAGACACTGGTAAGAAAAATACTATTACGAATAAGGGTTTTTCTAACAGGTGTCTATTGAACACTCGTTAACACACTTAAAATTCATCTAATCTGTCATATATATATATACAAACTAATAATTATTATCTTTCTTTACATTTATATACATTCTCTATTTAATATTACCTATCCTCCTTTGTATTTACTTACTTTTTCTAATTAATCTTACATTTTAAAAAAATATGACACCTGAAATATATTTTAACGGTGTCTAATCCCAGTTAGACAGACCCTAGGAATAAATATCATCATCATGGTGACTAGGCGTGTAAATGAAATCAGTCTTTTGAGAACAAATCAATTAATATCTGATTAAATGAGTGGACACAATCTTTCTTCGTACATATTGTCGGTAAGTATGACTATTTATCATCAACATCTATTGCAGAGCACATTATGACTAGGATTAGGCCTTGATGGAGCTAATCAAGGATTACATGAATTGTTTCCATCTTATTATAAAGAGATTTCTAACAGGTGCCCGTATCTTCGTTAACGCGCTTAAATCATATCTAACTTATCATGTAAATATACATACTAATAATTATTAACTTCTCTTATATTTATATACCTTTTTTTTTAAAGGCACTTCTAACAGGTGCCCATATCTTCGTTAACGCGCTTAAATCATATCTAACTTATCATGTAAATATACATACTAATAATTATTAACTTCTCTTATATTTATATACCTTTTTTTTTAAAGGCACTCATTAAAATGTATTTCAAGTGATAGATTTTTAGAAAGTTAAGAACAATTCGAGAAAGTGTGTAAATGCAAAGGTGGATAGTAATTGTTAATGTGCGTATATATATGGTAGGTTAGATGGAATATAGATGTGTTAACAAGTACCTACTGGGTACCCATTAGAAAAATCAATCCTTTCTTCTAATTATAGTTATTACCCTCCTTATATTTATACACTTTACCTTATAACTTTATTTTTAAAAAAATTAACACTTAAAAAATATTTTAACGAGTATCTATTAAGCACCCGTTAGGCAAACCCTATTACAAAATCCAAGTACAAATGACAAAGAAACATGAACTGAGAACAAATGCAAAAGATATTTGTATGGATTAAAGTTTAGATGCCTTCGAAATAATTGTGACCAATAATTGAAGGTACCAAACAATAAAATGCTGATAGTGAAATCAAATGGAATTAACAAATCAATTCCAGTAAAGCAAAAGTAATGGTTGATGACAAATTCTCCAACAACTAACCTAATTTTTGCGTGCAACTAACCTCAGCCATTATAGTGATAATGCTACTATGACACTCATCCTCCTAACTCAATTAATTATGCTTTATCTTATGTTAGTTTTTACGTTATTAATAGCGTAAAAGTAATAAAAATCTAGTTCTAGAAAAGAAAGTCATCACGTGAAATCCTGATAGTAACTCGTAAATTAAAGTTCAACCGTAACTCATAAAATTATTGATAGTAACTTCTATCTGTAGTTACAGGTGATATGCCATGCAACAAGTGAAATACTGATGCTGTAATTTGAGATGAATAGCTGTTTATAGATTTGGCACCCAAGAAAAGAAGGGAAGAAATGGTTAATCCTGCATCCACTTAAACTTTGCTTGTTGCAGCAGCATCTCCCTAGAACAAGATGACTATTCAGTAAAATCAAACTTGTGAGAAGAATTACAGAGTATTTCTGTTAAGAATGGCATAATGCCAAACTCAATCTTATATTAACCTAACCTGTATTTACACATCAATGAATCAGCATATAACTGAAAGTATAAATCAAAAGCTATGCACATGTAATACTTTACAGACTGTGATACAAAATCAGCAAAATCAACTTGTGAGAAGAATAATGAATATTTCTGTTAAGAAAGGCATAGTATCGAACTCAATCTTACTTCTTAACAGGTATTTAGAAATCATGAATCAGCATATAACTGAAAGTAGCAATATAATACTTTACAGAACATGATACAAATGGACTGAATCAGCCAATAGAATAGAAGCCTCGAGTAATAGGTTTGCAAGGTTAGGAAAATTTGACCTATTTGGAGACCCCATGCATAGCTTGGATGTATTTCCTAGGAGTTGTAACTTCGCAGGCGTAGTCTAGTCTAAACTTTTGCACACTTTCATGTAGCTTTCAATTATTTTTCCTGTGAATGGTCTGTATAATACCCTTTGCCAACATTCAATTTCTCTTCTGCAGCAAGCTTCTCAACTTCAAGCTGAACTTGATCGCCACCAACTTTACTTGGTTCTAGTAAGTTGCAAGCTACCTCAATGACACCATCACCATGGGTTAGTGCCATAGATTGCACTGAAGGAAGTCCGCCTCCTCTTCCACTTAACCTCTTGGCTATTCTACGAACAGCAGCTATGTCATTAGAAAAGACTGGGACGTTGTAATTGTCAACCCACCGTGTTGCTCCTATTACAATGATACCTTTTGCTTCAACTGCAAAATCAGGACCCTGATCTGGCTTTAGCTGTAAAATCTCTGATTTGGGCCCGCCTGTCCATTGGTTTCCACTAGAATCAGGCTTGAAATATCCCAGTTCCCTCCTGATTGAAGCAAGAGATCTTCCTTCCCTATGTGCTGCTCCATACAAAAAGGTAGGAACTGCAAGTAATTGTGTAGATCCTTAGAAAAGCTGGAAATGTTAGAAGCAGAAAAAAAGGATAAAAAAATATAGAGAACTGTTACTAACAATCCTTTTGGCTATTATGATGTCAAGTTTGCGGATAATGAAACAGATTTGCTCAGAAAGATGCACAAGAGAGGTGCTTGCAACTACAAGGTACTCCACAAAAGGAAGGGGTTATGAAGATAAAAAGAATAAAGACAGAAGAATGAATTAAGTGAAAGTACCAAAAAAAATGCAGAAAAACCTGGGAAATATGCTTTTGGATAAAACAGACATTGACATAAAAATGATCTTCAAGATTAATAGTTCGTTGAATCAAGACAATGAAACTTGGCCTTATTTGTGGTTCTGTCAGTTAATTATTATAATTGTGGTGCAAGGACCTAATTATATAGGAACAATTGAAAGTCATTCACCAATATGGAGGAGGAGGAGCAACAAACAACAATCTATTCAAATCAAGCTATAAGCAAAAAAAAGATCCTTGAGTTCGAGTATTAAACATGGGTAAGTAAGCAATGTGCCAGCAGCTTCATCGCATTTTAGGGGCTGAATCAGGTAAACTTCCAATGTTCATTTCTTCAACATTTGCATCATGCAATTTAGGCTCAAGACTGCTAGTCATTCGGACTAAGAATGACAAAAAGGATTTCGAAAAATATTAAGGGTCCTATAGACTGGACTGGAGCTCAAAAAACCTGGTGCTCATAATTGCTTAACACATGTCTGCTGGCCTTACAAATGAGAGAAGACATGGTTTTCAGAGGATAGCATACTAGAATAAGGATTTCCACCAATGAGCTATGTTATCTCTTATTGTCACAACCAAGATACTTCACAAGGCTAAGTTTACAAATGGCCCTGGAAGCATATCTTAGTTCAAAGAAAGAGCAGAAGTTCCAAATGGCCCTGGAAGCATATCTTAGTTCACAAGGCTAAGTCTACAAATGGCCCTGGAAGCATATCTTAGTTCAAAGAAAGAGCAGAAGTTCCAACAACAGACTGATGTTGTTTTATAAAAGGTTCTAGTTAGGACACTAAGATTGAAGTACATAAGCTCTATGTAATCAAAACCAAACAACAAGTATTGGAGCTCTACAGAGTAGACATCTGCTTTTTAAGGATGCCATGTTAAGAAGTGCCCAAGGAATTCTAAACGCTTCAAAGGGTTCATCTATCAGGCATCCACAATTATATTGCATGACGTGTTTTCAGTAATTGAAGTTCCAAAGCTTGAATTATAAACCAGTCTAAACTACTTATGGCAGGATAACATGAGGATTTTGAACCAAAAGGGAATTGAGAAAAGAAAGTTGCCTGAATAAAGAATGAGAAGACAAAGTTGGGCAAAGTGTTGTCTTGTGAAACTTATATGCAGGCAATTCAATGGGAACAACTGATCCTACTGATAAGAATTAAGATTAAGAATGGCCACCTGACACCTAACAGGTATGAATGACTTCTTGTAATTGGAGGTTTAGTAGGATATTCAGTTGTGCAGCACAAGGTTTGCCTTTCTTTCGGCTCAAAATCTGATGCAACAAACTAATAAAATGAAAATCCTAACAGGAAATTTTCATCAAAGACTAATAATGCATCAGCATAACGTTGGAGCATTAGGTGTCAGCATAGATAATCAAGCAACTGTCAAATGAAAGTTATTTAGGAGATGCTAATGTAGTCAGTACCCCATTCTCTAGCTGATTAATGTACTTGTTGGGAAAAACCTTAATCAGCAAAAGTAGCTAATTTCTTCACAAAGTCAAAAAAACATCAAGACACCACAAAGAGCGTCTTACACAGACTAACACACACACACACCCCTTTCGTCCCAAGTGAGCGACAAGGGAAGACTCTTAGCTACCCTCAATCTTGAACAGAATATCCTATAAAAGAAACTAATACTGACAGGAAAGAACCACAACAACACAAAAACTGCACTCACAACCCAATGAGCAGTCTCAAGTGAGCAAGTGCTTTCACTAAAATTCTGAAGGAAGTAGCTTGTCCTGAATACCATATGATCTTATTAACAACGCTGGTTGACAACAAATAAAATCAAGCATTGGTCTTAAAATGCAAATTTGCAGTATAAAACTAGAGCTACAGGAGAATTCGGACCTTTAAGATTTGAACCAACATCAGCTGCCAAAGCATTTGCAGTCCCAGCCACTTGTTCCAAACTAGTACTCTCCAATGGATGAAAACAAATATGGTCCACAACACCAAGCCTAGGATGACTTCCAGAATGAGCACCAAGATCAATGCTTTGAAAAGCAGCTTCAACCATGGCAAAGACAGCCCCTTTCAGAGGATCAGAAGATGGTTTTGAACCCAACTTTGAAACAAGAGTGTAACCAACTCTATTGTAAATTTCATCCTCAAACTTATTAATAATTGGAGCTTCTGGAACAACTTAGCAGCCCTCTCAATTGCCTCAAGAGCAGCCTTGTTCCTGCTTTCTGATATGTAAACTTTGCAGCAAGATAACATCAATTTTAACATCTTTTCTTGTTCTGAAAATCCCTCTTAATCTGCATAATGAATACTTTTAGCAGATAATTTGAGACCACTGGAAAAATTTTTGGACATTATTCTTGCAACCCTATAACTCCAAGAAGCAGAATTCCGATTCAGATACTGTAGCATGAATTTCAATTTCAATGTTAGGACTAATTAGACAGGAAAACAGAATGAAAATAAAACAACAATTTGAATTCTTGGAGAAAAGCATTAGCTGATACTATTAATCAATAAAAAATCTGGAAGAGAAATGAATATTAATTAGCATCAGCCCACATTAAAAAAAAATGTCCATCATTTGAAGAATTTTGCAGAGGGAATGTTAGAGCCAGTATAAATATGGGCATGTACCAATTACGATGAGGATTTTCTTCTTCTGAAGTGAAAAGAGTGAAAAGAGTGAAGAGGATAGACTTTCAAAGTAGATCTGGCCCCAGGAAACCAATTAAGAACAACGTAAGATGCTAATGGGCTGCCTAGACTGGCATGGAGTTAAGTAACAATTATCTGGACTGGATCAGAATATTGAACCGACTGTGGGCCATTCAGAATTGAATTCCGATTGTCTAGTCCCTAGGACCTAGGTTAGAGTAATTAGTTAAGAGATTTGAAATCCTTGATTTGACTCTCAACTCCTCTCTTTTTTTTTGCCCTTGTGAGGTTTGAAATCTTCCATTGGGACAAAAAAATTTAATTATCTACTATTCGAGAATGAGTTTAAAATTGTGTTCAAATTTAGTTTCTTTCATTTATTCTATTCAAGTCCGGTTTCTTTTATCCATCTAAATTTATAAATTTGTTTGTTGTGTTAATTGACAAATCCATTATTTGGAATTTCTTATATCTAAATTTTTTATGTTAGTGGATATCTCCTTTGGAACAATTGTCTCCACCTATGGAGCAAACGGCACAAATAATTATCAAACTATTTCAAACTTCATGATTTGGTTACTAAACTTTTTATTCAGTCTAGATGGTCGCTCAATGACTGAAAAAAGTATTATTTTTGTTAGTTAACTAATACCAATGTATATATTTTTTCTTACTCTGCTAATGAAAGCGTATACCTTTTCGACTGTAAAATGTGCATTTTAATTAGTTGAATCACCATTTTAACTAAAATAAAAAGTCCAAGACCAAAGCATGAAATGTTAAATAATTTTATGACCATTTTTGCGACTTGCTCGCCGGCCAAAAGAGAGAAGAAAATGTTCTTTAAATGATGTAAATGCATTTGGAGGTGTGAAGGTGTAGAAGTCACACCCTGAACACCATCAGAAGGGCTTAAATCTTAAATCTTAATTTACATCGATCGACCGATCATGGATCACGTTTTCTTGTTGATGCCTCATAAGGGTTTAGAGTAAAAGACACACAATATCGCGCTTTTTCACATATCTCTATACAGAAATCACGCTCATCATATCTATACTGTTCCCTAAACTTAAAAAGGTTAATTTGCTACACCAGACGTCAAATTTTTACAACTATTCTCAATCACATAATTATGACATAATTCAGCTACAACCCTCCTAAATTCCATACTTTTAGTTTATGTCCTTTCGTGGATTTGGCCAAAATTTTGGACTTATGAGGCTTCTAATTAAACAAACCGTAAAAACAAATTCTTGTATGTTTCATGGTATAGCCATGCAAATTTAGAGCAGAAAATGTGGTTAATTAACAAGAGTGGAGATTGATTAATGCAGAGATAAAAACTGTCATACTAAAAGGAGATTCAGTAATGCTTCTACCACAGCTACAAGACTTTGGTTTTCTTGATTGTGGTCTTCCCCATAAGTATAACTCACATGGGACAGGATTTAAGAACTTGGGCTTGGCAGTGAAGCAAGGCTTTCACGCCTTTTTCCAGTTGTTAATCCAAATACTATAGAATTCATTGAAGTCAAAACCCTTTTGTTCTTTGCTCCACAAAAAAAGAGAAAAAAAAAAAGAGGAGGGCTTGTTCTTTAAGCTAATTGTTCTTTTTCCTGTGATTTGTATTCATCTACACATTTTGCATCTACCAAAAATTATTTCCATTACTTTTTCTTGATTTTTTTTTTGGTCAATTGAATTATCGTTTCTTGGGCTGTCAATATCCTCCATTTTGAACTCAACACAAAAGAACTACAACCCTACGCATGGAAAAAAGCTAGAATAGTTGCTTGTGCGTTAAAAAGGGAAAACAAAAAGCCATTAAGTATAGTTGGCCACAATGATTTAACTCTTTTCCAAGTAAAGAATCCTTTAATAGGTAGTAGTGTTTTGTGGAATAATGAAAAGATGCTAGGCAGGTTGTATATGGACAATCTGATGTTAAAAAATAAAAAATCAGAGTTCATTGTATTGGAAAAAGTAAAGAGAATGAACCCTTTGTTCTTTTGGTAAACATGTGAACTCAGGGGGCATCTTCACCGCCTCTAATTTCTCCATTTGGATTAGTCAAATCATTCCCAATAGTATTTTGCTTGTATCGCAAAAATATTTTTTAATTAATTTTTTATTTCATATATATCAAATCACAAAAAGTATTATAGTAGTTAATCCAAATAATAACTCAAATAATCTACTATCAGGCACTCACATTAGTATTATATTAGTATGTACTCAAAATATTACTTGCAAACTCTAACACATTTGAATAGGTAAAATTTCATGATACACCAGCAAAAACTTGCATTTCATGATAAATTTCATTTTTTGTGTCATAACGTACGCAGATTTTCCGAGTGCAAAAACGTAGAAATTAACAACCCATTTAAGTGTTTTTTAGCGCCTTGTCTCCTAAATTGCTACTAGTGTAGAACTAGTATAGAAAGATTTGTTCATTATTATTAAGAAAAGAATTAAGGATTGTGCTAGTCTTAAATAGGAAAAGTGATTTTTGGCTAAAAGTAACCTTAACAGGTAGAACTCACATGTTCGTGTGCATGCCTAATTAACAGTTAGAAAAGTGCTAGTTTAAATTTAATCAAAGTTTAAGCCCTGAACTGAAAAAACAAAAAAAGAAAAGAAAAGATTTTTTTTTCTTTTGATCACTCTTTGCGATGGGCAGTCTTTGACTCATTTGCAAAACACTCCTCGAAAGCAACAACCAAAGTTGCATAAAAGTCTCCATCATCTAAGCCTTTGGACACAATTCCCATGCACCTTCTTCATTCTTGTTAACTCCGCTACAATGTGTATGGAGAGAGAAGAAAGCAGTTTGAAGGTCCAGTTTAGATGACTAAACCAACAAGAAAGCTGTGATTGAAAAGAAAAGCACAACACGTAAGAGATTACTACCAAAGAGAGAGGACTTCTGATTCTATCACTTTCATGCTTCACTTCTGAGGTTAGATTGCAGTCCTAGGAAGAGTGATTAAGGGAATGGGGGACTGATGAAGGCGAATCATCATGGACATGGTGGTAGCAATAGAGGGAAGCCTTATGGCTTAATGCTTCTGATAGCATTTGGAGCTGCCATTATTGGAGTTATGGTGGTGCACAAGTTCAGAGAGAGACGAATTTTCAACATTCTTGTCACAGAAAAAGACCGTGAACTCACAACTCTTCAGCTTCTACTGCAGGTTCAAGCTCCTCATCTCTTCCTTAATTATAGTCTATACATCTCTTCCTGAAGTTCTTGCATGAATGAAGTACACAGAATTGTTGGTTGCAGCATGCTTATAACTGATATCTGTACAATTCACTGGAGGATTTCTCTCTTCAATCATCTTCTTCTACCATTGATGTGCTATTCTTCTTACATTAGACTGCTATTTCTTCCAATAGACTACACTAAAGTTTCTTTTCTTCCTAGCATTCTATAGAAAAGTATAGTCAGGATTATCTGCAATCATTTCTGAAATCACTGAGTTTAAACAGATTCAAGACCTGACTGGCTTTGAATCTTTTGACACATGCCCTAGCACTAGAACAAAAAAGGCGCAGCTATTGTAATATTCTTTGAGCATTGTTGGAGTAGATTAGGCCTCCCTTCTTATCCCAAGAAACTATGTTATTGCTTTGCATGAAACCACCACTGTAAAGAGGACATATGACAACGTACCAGCTAGTGAGTCAAAGGTAGTTAGAGAGCACGAGGTGAAAAACTCCCAAGCGACTAAGGTTAGATTGGAAATTTTATAGTAGGAAATATTGGCTTTTGAGAAAAGTTGTCAACGATCAAGCTCCTTGATCCTGTATAATTAGGAGCAAGAAAATTATTTTGGGTTTAAAATAAACTGCAAGATTATGTTCTTTTTCTTTCATCTTCATTTTCCATTTCTATGGTTGAAATTAACTTGAAAGGATTATTTTAATATGTGTGATGCCCAGTACTTTAAGATGCCTCCTTACAGTCCTGGAAGATACATGTGCTGGGTCACTCAAGGTACGCCAAGAGAGATTGTATGACAGATCATGATTCATGGATGACAACAGGCCAAGGGAGAAACCTAATGCTCTCTTCTTATAAGAAGAAAGCCTCAACCAATCTTGGGAAAGCAGAGGTATTGGAGCCATCAGAGGAGTCATTGATCCTTTGAATCTGGGTAAAGACACACCAGTACTAATCTTATCATAGTAGTCCTTTTTTTAAATTAAAAGATTTTGGGTTAGTTTATCATAACAACTTTGAATAGGTTGCTTGATGTGTAAGAAGAAAGGAAAGGCAATCATCATGGAAATCCGATCCTTTTGCAAGATGAAAATTAGCGCCTAAGTAGGATTTTTTGCCTCCTATTGGTAATTTTGACAAGTATAGCATTTTTATCTGGTTATCTATGCTTTAAAATGTTGGTAGGATCTAATTGTTGACTATTGTAATTTCCTTTGAATTTCTCTTTTGTGTAAAATGTCTCTATAGAAAGATTGTGTGTACTGTATTAATTTGTCCATCCGAATAGGTGATAATTGAGTAAAAAGAAGGGAAAGATACTCAATAATGGATATCGTTCCCAGGGTAGCATCTTCAAAGTCCTTGCAGTCTTCTAAAGTTGAAACTGAGAAGAAAGACACCAAGCAGAAAGTTACAAAGCATGTTTCCTTGCCTGCCTATTGTATGATTAACTGCTGTCTTCAAGGCATATTCTATGATTTAACTGTTTGTTGCCGACCATGTTTTTTGGGTGCTTGCTATAGAAAGTTGAACTGGCTTTCATTTGGAGAAGAAGCAGATGAGGAGGAGAAGGAATTGGCTAATGTCAAGACCCGGATTAAGAGCAGTCATGATGTATTAGATGATGCATGTCTTCTGAAAGAGGAGAATCATACTGATGATGTGGTAATCATTTATTCTTTTTTGTCAAGGAAATCAATAATAACTGTGGTTCTTCACCTCGTGATCTGTTAGGAGCTTGTTAACCATCTACTGATTAGCTACTTGACTTGCAAAAGACTAATGTCTTCTTACTTGTTTCAGTACAAAATGGTGAAACTGTTTCATAACAGCACTACTGTACTGATTCTTAAAGTACCTTTTTTTAATGTTTAGAGAGCAACTGGAGAGGATCTAGATGGTAAAACTTTCCTGCATCATCATTTCATGACGGTGCTATAAATTCCTCCATCATGAGATTTTGGCAGCCATCCAATATCTTTGCTTCGGAACATTTCTGCAGTGGAAGCAATTTTCAGTTGTCAATGATAGTGCAGGAACCGAGTTATGTCTCCCGACATATTGTTGATAAGCTAGGCATTCAAACACATAGGCCAGCTTTCATATCTGTTAGGTAAACGAATTGCAGGGAAAAGGGAAACAGGATCCAGACACTTATAGAGAAATATTGGGAAGAAAACTCTACCGTAAAGAAGCAAAGGCTAACTCTTAGAAGTTGTCTATTCTCTGAGACTACGTTTTTAAAGATAAAGTGCATCTTTTGACCAATCACATGAAAAATGTTAACTCAGAGTTTTTGATGTCCTAAAATTTCGATGGGTTTAATACAGTATGGAAAGTAATATGCTTTTTGTCTTCACAATGCTTTTATTGTTGGTGTTCCCAGGAATCCAACTAGTATTTTTTTTTTTTACAGATTTTGCAAGAGTTTTTCTTCACCTACATGCTGTCAGTTTTGGAGGGACAAACTTTATGAATGTTGAATCACATGCGCTTGTTGAGGGGAACAACGAATATGATTTATTTTCTCCTGATCAGTAATAAATAAATTGCTTGGACATACACTTAAATGAAGTTGCTAATGCAGATAGCATCTGAAGTTAAAGCTACAAGGGATAAGCAGTTGACAGTCAGAGAGGATCTGCGTTCAAAAAGGGAAGAATCACAGGGACAATCAGATGCCAAGTTGCCTGAAGCTTCTGATTTTAGTGGATGAAGATGAGGCAAACTTTGATGCAAGGATGCGTCAGCGGATACTGCAAAAAAAGAAAGGAGCTTGTTTTTCTGCAGAGAGTTAAAATGAACCTATAGCTTACAAATCTTTTTTATTCATGCCAATTAACATAGTCAACTTCTATCTGTTCTAGCCAAATTTAGTGTTATAATGCTTAGTATTTGATACTTTGGACTTAATTGGATTTGCAAATTTTAGAGAGTGGCAATTTACAACTATATATATATAATATTTTTTGGCCTGATAGAAAGTGTTTTATTATTATTCTCCAGAAATGCTTTGATGTCATCATGAAATTACTATACACCTGCAACTAAGCTGCTTTTGTATGCTTTTTTATGACATTCTTCAGTATGTTTTACATGATTATGGATCGTGGCTCAAGCAGTTATCCTTCCTACTGCCCAGTGAAAGCAGTCCGACAGAACAAGAATTTTTTCGGTATTTTTATGACTCCTAGACTGATTGTGACACTTCAACCGTTAGCCAGATCCATAGGGTGGATAAGATGTACAAAAATGATTCAAATGAAACCTCATGCTGGATGAGATGTTTTGAACATATTTTATAATAGTACCTCTGCTCGGAGTGGGTAGTCCAAACCTTCAGCTGAACTCATGGCTAATGCAGATGCTGACCTACAGTTGATGAACAATGCTGAACGTGAAAGACAACTACAGAAGCAAAAGAAGCGCAGACGCCAAGGACGCGAGGATGAAGTATGCATTTGACATTCATATTGATCATTTTATTGTGTATAATCCCAGCATTAGAAAAGGGAAACAAAACAAGAAAGAAAAACATAAGAGGAGAGGTCCAACGCTTTTGACATAATATTTTCCTAAGGTGTATAATCCTCTGTTAAATTCATTGACCGAGGTCAGAGCACAAAACTTTTTTGTTTCAAATGATGTGGTTGTGTTCTCTGGAAGGAGGGCTGTAGCTGTATTGGATCTGGAAATTTTTGCAATGACTTGCTGGAGAAAATGGATGAAAAGAAAAGATATGGACGTGCTATTATCTATATTCAACCTTCCTATAGATGGTTAACACTCTTGATTTCATTTATTTCTGTGATTCTTCTTAGGTGCTGAAGAGACTGGAAAAATTCAAGGCAGCATTTTCTTCCATATCCAATGGATTGAAAGATGAAGATACAGGTGGTAAGGACGGTGTGCCAGATTGGATGGGGTTCAGCTTAAGTTTGCTCCCGACCCTGTCAAGGTAATCTTCACTTCTTTATGCACCTTGCACTGTCAGCTTGAGTGTGGATTGAGATCCAATTGAAGTTGGCATTCTCATTGTTGAGTTTTGCTGCTATTGAGCATGAACAGCCAGCATGGATACGTAATGCAAACCTTGTTTATTTCATGCCTGTCAGTTTCAACGCCACATATGTTGAAATTCAAGTTGCCCTGAGGATGTAGTCATTAAAGCTAAATAGAGACAAATTGAGTTCCACAATGACAATCAACTGATTTTGATGGATGGGGAAAATGAATGCTGAATAACCTTAAAAGTCAAATAAGAATAAGGGAAGCAGGCCATAAACGAGTGAGTAGTTATGCGATTTAGAGTTTCTATAGGTTGAAGAGAAATTGGCTCTGGCATTTAATTTTGAGAGCAAACTTTAGAGAATTAATCCCCTTGCAGATTTTGTTGTGATTTTGATATAGTCGGTTGGCTGTTATGGAACCCAGGCGATTTATTGTGAAGCGTACTGTCTGTAAGGAAGTTGTGTGGTCCTGAGATTGCATTTCTTTAGCAGATAGTGGAGCACACCTTTTATCTTGAGAGTCTGCTCATTCTTCTTAAGTTCTTCTCCTCCCCCATTGAAATTTTATTGAATGTAGTTCTATTGGGTATTCAAGAATGGTTATGACCATATTTTTTGTGTTATTTCAGGATTTTGAGATATGAAAATATCTTTGAGAGATGTATGATGAAATCGTGCTTTTGAAGACAAGCACTTCTTGGGATATATAAAACATCTTGTCATTGGAGTGAACTATATTAAATGATAAAGTTTGTAGAATTTGACTAAAACATTGTATGATACTTTATTCTAGTGTATTGTGGAATTTTAATTTTGTTATGATATTCACTTTTAGCATATTTGAGCAAGATAAATGTTGTACCATAAAAAAAAATTGATTTCTAACCTTTATATTAGTGATTTTTTTTGCGACACAAGTTTATGTCGCACAATATTGTGGACATTTTTTGCAGCGCATTTTTTGTGCCGCAAGTAGAGTGGCGACACTCAAGCATCGCAAAAAGTAATGCAAATACATGCGACTCATATCCAAATTGCGTTGTCTTCTTTTGTAATGCGTAATTTTGGGACACAATTGAGTTATGTCGCTTTTGTGTCTCTAAAAGGTTTTTGTGGCACTTTTTTTACTTTTTGTCGCACAATTCTAGTGTCACAATAAGCCTATTTTCTTGTAGTAACATGTGTTTTCATTTATTAAGGAGAAACATGATTATTTTAAATTTTGACTAATTCTAACCCTTGTTAATAAATGAAAACACGTGTCGTAGATATACACTACGAAAGATGGAAAGAAAATCCATCGGAGAGGAGCAAGTGTCACTATAGGCCTATAGTATCAATATTAACATTGCTGCTGCCCGTAGTAATAAGCATACCAAGAGAGAAAACAGGAGCTGGAGCAATTATGATATGTTTTGGTGGGCTGGTGCAATTATGTACCAACTGTCGATAAGGTCACAACGACAAAGTGTGCAGGATCAATAAGAAGAAACTTTAAGTAGAGATGCCTATTTCTGATTTCACTGTCTGCATATTTCACAAATCGAGTCAATGATTTGAACCTTGGCAAGCGTATGTTCCAAAAAACTAAATACATAGAATTTAAAAAAATATATATAAAATTCTACTTGAAGTTTTGCCAAAATAATCGTGCTTTTCTTGTTAGTTTTCTAATTAAACACAAATTGGACCTTGAAGTCACTTTGTGTGCGGCTATGGCGTTGTGACGCACTTGTATGGAACTTGGTTCTATGATTGTATATGACTTTGGATTCTCCCACTTCATCGGCTAACTAAAGTTACCAAACTTACACGGTGACATTTCGATCAAGAAGCAAAAAATAAATCCTACAAATCTTTAAGGCCCTGGTTGAAAATTGCAGCGAAGGCATCCATTCTAGCCTTGGGAAGAGACAAACCAACCTCTATATCCCTGTTGCGATCTCTGCCCCCACAAAGAGATACTGCCCCTGTTTTATCAATTGAAACGAACTCAAACCTTCTGGGCCTCCCCCATCCAAAATCCAGTTGATAAAAATTAAACTTTGGTGATCCAGCCACCACAAAAGTCCTATCCAAATTCAAATTCTGCAACTCCACCAACCAATTTTCAGCACCATTAGAGAGTGCCTCTTGGCTTTGCAATTTCTCATTCATGGCTGCGCCAATCAACCCAACTGCACGAGGGATTCCTCCTCCTCCCACAAGTTCACCATTTTTCATCTTTGCTATGCACAGTGTAATGCAATTCCCAAAATAGTTTTCAGCCACAAGATGATCCAAACGCCTTCTGCAATTCCCAAAGCAGACAAAGTTCTCTACTTCTTCCTCATCAACTGCCTCCTCGCCGCGGGATTTTACTAAACATATCCAAACATATGCACAAACAACTTTGAAAGATTTCATATAAGCTTGCCCTCGGAGCATAGTTGGCACTAACTTCCTAATATTTTCAACCTGTTCTGGGCTAATAAGAAAAGTTTGTCGAACTTTATAGCTGTTCGATGAAATGCCTGAACCACGATCAAGTTTACTGATGTTGTTCCATTGGTTCCAGAAAATTGAGGAGAGACCCTTTGGGTCTTTGATGATAGTTCTATAATAACATGGTGGCCCTAGTGGTCCTCCACATGGTGCGTTCACCTTTTCCTCAGCTTCGGCTTCTCCAGCTTTGGCATGAAACGCCCAAATCCTCGAGAACCTAAAAATGGTGCAAGCATCTCCGGCCGCTTGATGGCTTGTTATCCCAATGGAGAATCCCATGTTGGGAAACAGTGTAACCTGGAGAGCCAGCACCGAAGATAGAATCGACCCGGAATCATCCGTCGATTGTACCAATTTGGGAACCAAACAATGAAAATCAGAACTGTCTCTTGCATGATTTGCCACTAACCATTCAAAATCGATCGCATTCGACTCCGCGACGATCAAGGGTACTGAATTTCCACGTTTGTACAGGATTTCGGGCGAGTCCGGACCAGAATTTGGCGGGATGATCAAGTTTCCCGCTAATGGGATATAATATTTGAGGGTTAAGTTAAGGGAATCTCTAAGTTTTGGGATGATTTCTTCGATAAAATTGGTTTTTGTGATCTCAGGGATTTCGTAGAAAACAAGGCGTTGGACGGGTGGGGCGTGTAACCATAGGACGTCAAAAAAACTTAGGCGGAGTGACATTCTGGACACCAGCCCCGGCGGTGGTGTCGCTAGACAACGGTCAAGCACGGTGGTTGGTTCCCCGGAAGGAGCCATATTTGGTTATGTGGATTATGCAGGTCTGGGAGTGTAGAATTGGTAATTGCAGATGTTCTTGATCCGAAAAGTCAGAAGTTAATTAATTGGGTTAAAATAATTTTTGAGGCCCTGATTTTGTGGTAAGTAATCTAGGCTGTTGGCTAGTAGGCAAGTACTAGTAGTAAATAGTAATAAGGCAATTGAGAGTGGGTGGAGTAATCCTGCTTTCGTGGAGAGGTTAGTCAATTGATTTCCTTTTGGGTTAAAAGATGTAAAACTATTAGACATCGGAATATATGAATTTGGTATCACCGCTTAATCACTTCAGTTTCTTAATGGAGTCGGATCCATGAGTTATTTGGGAGAAAAAAAATTCATTTTCCGCAAAAAGTAGTCTAAACCAACTTTCTATTGTGGTTGTGGATAAGGTTTTTTTAATGGGTATCTAACATTTGTTAATACATCTAAATCACATCTAACTTGACTTATCACGTAAATGTACATGCTAATTATTATTAGTCTCCCTTAGATTTATACACTTTTTATCAAATTAATTTTACTTTTCAAAAAATTTAACACTTGATCTACAGTTTAATGATTGTCCAACGAGTATTCTTTAGACAAATTTTATTGCCAATTGTGCAAAGTGCTCCTTTTTTTTTCCCCTTTTTTTTGTTTAAAGATAGGTGGTAATTTGCAATCACTTTTAAAAAAAAAAAATCTCTCAGAAAGAGAGAGAGAGAGAGTGTGTGTGTGTGTGTGTGTGTGTTTTTTTTTTTTTTTTGTGAATAAAAAAGACAAAGGCACATGAATGTCGAAACTATAATTGTAGAATTCATTGAGACACCTACCACAACAAATCATCTGTGTCATCAAATGGAGCCTGCCGCGTAATTTTCATAGGATATTTTTTGTCGGTAGATCATCAACGAGTGATGCACAATATGTTGCACTTTTCTAAATCTTTACCAATAATGTATATGAATGAGCAAAACTTATCGTTTCAAAAAAAAAAGGAATATGAATGATAACAAGATTCCCTGCAGGATTGCTGTAAACTGAATGCTATTTGCTATTAACGTCTTTTACTACCCAAAAAAAAAAAAAAAATCCCAGCAGGATATTGCTCCCAAGACACTTATCATTTTGTATTAATGAACAGTGATTAATGGGTCGTATCAGCTCTATATACAAGGTCAAAATTTGTGTAGACTCAATTTTCAAAAGTCAACAATCCAAATTATGCCACACAACTTCACCAAGTGATGTGATCTACCCAACTTTCACAACATTTTCACACCTGACACAAATGATGATTTCTTCACGCACAATGAAGGTGCTTCAACATTTTTTAACATGGGATCTACCCAAGTGTAAGCCTATATACAATCCATCTTTCTCAACGTTTTCACACATGACACAAATGACTTCTTCACACACAGTGAAGGTGCTTCAATGCTGCCAAATCTCACCACCACAAGGATCAGTGCCATCAACAACTATTCCATTAACTTTCTTTGATATCCCTTGGCTTCTTTTCACCCCAAACCAACCCCTTTTCTTCTATGATTTTCCCCACTTCAGTACTCATGACTTCATACATAACATACTTCCGAACCTCAAGCATTCTTTGTCCTCAACTCTCCAATATTTCTTTCCTCTTGCTGGAAATTTGGTTATTCCTCCACAACCCTCCAAGCCCCACCTCAGTTACGCTGAAGGGGACTCAGTTTCTTTGATCATTGCTGAGTCTAGCTGTGATTTTGCTTTTCTTTCTAGTTATCAGCCAATAAATGTACAAGATTTTTACCACCTTGTACCTCAGCTGACACTTAGCATGCCAGTTGAGACAACTGCTAGTGCTAGACTTCCACTTCTAGCCGTGCAAATAACTATTTTTCCTAGATTTGGTGTCTGCATGGGATTTGCATTGAGACAAGTGGCTGCTGATGGGAGAACATTTGACAATTTCTTGAAGACTTGGGCATCCATTCTTGGTGAAGCAGGCAACAAATGTCCCCCACTGGCTTTGGTGGACAATTTTTTGCCATGTAATGAAAGGTCTTTGATCCATGATCCAAGTGGGCTGGAGCTAATTTTCTTGAAACAATGGTGGCACCTCAAGGGTCTGCAAAAAGATGTGGCTAATGGTTCAAATTTTGATGAAATAGTAAGAGCCACATTTGTTGTGGGTCCAATAGAGATGGAGAAAATAAAAGGGTGGATCATGACCCGGTCCATGAATATATTCGGGTCAACCCGGTTATATTTGTCTCCCTATGTGGTAACTTGTGCATTTGTTTGGGTGTGTTGGACGAAAATCCACTTAATCCATGGAGGAGATTTTCCTGAAAAGCCACATTACTTTGGGTTTATTGCGGGTGGCATCACCCGGTTAGGATTCTCTGTGCCTAAATCTTACATTGGTAATTGCGTTGCATTTGGTCGATCCATGGTGAAGAGGGATCAATTAGTGGGAGAAAATGGTCTCATATATGCTGCAAAAGCGATTGGGGATACAATTAAGGAGTTGGATAGAGAAGTTTTGGGCGAAGCAGATAAATGGATTTCGGATTGGGAAGTCTTGTTTGGGTCGGAGCCCCATGTCATGATTACCGGGTCACCGAAAGTGGGCTCTTATGAATTGGACTTCGGGTGGGGCAGACCCACGAAAGTGGAAGAGGCATCCATCAGTAAAACCCGTGCAATTTCACTTTGTGAAAGCAGAGATGTTTTTCACGGGATTGAGGTTGGATTGGCATTGCCCAAGGCCAAAATGGATGCTTTTGACTCCCTTTTTAGAGAAGGCTTGAAGACTTTGTGACTTTATTGTACTTTTGTAATCTATTGTTTTCCCACCTTTCCTCTAAAATTTTTATTCCCTAATAATTCTGGTTTTGTGAATTCATATTCAACCCCTTTTTTTTTGCATTCCCTAATAGCATCTTTTAGATTATGAGGTAAAGGACACGTAGAAAGAGAGAGAGACAAGTAGATATATAATGGAAATCAATGGGTAGTTTGAACTTGAGTAAAGTAAATTCAAGTCGAGCTCGATTTTGAACTTGAATTTTAAATGCTCGATGAATTCGAGCTCGAATTCAAGTAATGCATTACTCGAGATTGACTTGAATACACCCGTATATGTGCGAGCTTCTCTTTGTAAGAGAGTGAAGTCATCACAATGATTGTGCTTGTTGCAATGGTCAGAACTAAACTAGTATAGAACCAACGAGTTAGCCACGTAAGAAAAAGAAAGAAAATTTGACAGTTACTCACTCCTAAATTTCTTATTCTTTAACTTTTTACCCAAACTATTGTGGACTAAATTCTATCTTTGGTAATGTTAACCAAACGATATATTTGAAATGAGTGTGCGTTTCAAATCTGTTCATTTTTCCTTTAAAAACAAATGTTCATTTCAAGCTCATTCACTAAATTCCTCTTCAGAATTCAAATTTAGCAATAATGCAACCTAAGATTATACCTTAACTAACTGAGTTAGCTCAGTTGACCACCAAAGGAGGGACTAAATCCTTCCTTCGGCACAAGTTAGAGGGTCGAACTCTACTGACTGTGTTTTCTCTTCAGAATTTTTTGGAGTATGGTTGAAAATTATATAACTTCTTTCGAGCTTCTCAATAGATTAGATAGGTCCATTTTTCTCTCCTTTCTCCTAGTATGAGATTAATTATAGCAATATTGTTCTAAAAACTAGTATTGCTTCAAAAAAAAAAAGAAGATTATTCCTTAAAGTGAGCGGTTTGCTTGTCCTCTTTTTCATGGGCAATAAAGTGAAACAGAATAGGGAGATAGTGAATATGATAATTTTTTATAGTATTTTACCATGGAATTTGCAGAGTCCAATTCTTCTGACACTATGTATTTTGAGTTTGACATATACAAGAACCCAAAAACAGAAGAGAAAATTCTGCATTTCTTTAAGACCCTCACTGAAAATAGCAGCAAAGGCATCCATTCTAGCCTTGGGAAGTGACAAACCAACCTCCAAATCCCTATTGCAATCTCTGCCTCCCCAAAGAGATACTGCCCCTGTTTTGTCAAAATTGAAACGAACACAAACCTTCTGGGATTCGCCCATCCAAAATCCAGTTTATAGAAGTTAAACTTTGGTGATCCAGGCACCATGAAATTCCTATCCAAATTCAAATTTGTCAAGTCCACCAATTATTGTGGGTTTGGTCTATAATCTTGTATTCTTATTAAAAATAAATAAATCTAGAACTAGGTATTAGTTTGCAAATTCAACATAAAATCATCTGTTTTCTTCTTCTTCTTCTTCTTCTTCTTTTTTTTTTTTTTTTGCTTCTTCTTTTTTTACCAAATAGGAAAAAAGAAAGAAAGAAAGGCACATCAATTGTAAACCTTATGGATGATACGTGATACAAACTATTGAATGTCATTGGTTAGAGGCTGTAGATATACTTTGAAATCAATCGGTGAAGGATACTCTTGCCTATCTTTTGTACATTGGTAACAATAATTAGTGGTAACTGTAATTGGTGGGGGAAAATGGAATTGTATATGTGGCAAAAGCTATTGAGGATTAAAGAGTTGGATGGAGAACTGTTGTGTAGAGCGGACAAGTGTTATTTCGGATTGCAAAGTTTTATTTGGGTCGGAGCCCCATGTGATGATTGTCGGATCACTCAAATTGGGCTCTGACGAATTGGACTTTGGATGGGGCAGGCCCAGGAAAGTTGCATCAATATCAATTTGGACAAGCAATTTCACTTTATGAAAGAAGGGATGCTGTTGATGGCAATGAGGTTGGGTTGGGTACTTGGGTTGGCTTTGCCTGAGGCTACAATGGATACTTTTTTTAAGTGAGACTTCCTCTTATAGAGAAGGCTTGAAATCTTTGTAATTTTATTTTTGTTCTTGTTTTCTATGATTTTTCCACCGTTCTTCCAATTATTGATCTTTAGTGTAATAGATTGTAGGTTCAAAGTTGAAACAATCCACTTTCGCTTTGTTTTCTTTTTCTTTTTCCGTTAAGGTCACCCTGTTAATTAACCAGCTTGGAGGCTATTGTGTGTTAATTGTACAACAAATTAAACTTTTCTACAACATTGCAACCTCATGAGTTCAATTTCGTTGAATGTTTATCGATGAGATCTCTCTTAACAAGTGAAGCATCGTGCGTTCAATTCGTGATTTAGTTTTATCACTTTTTATAACGAGTTTAATTAAGGATAAATGCGTTATCTTTTTTTCCCCCCCTTGAACACCATGATGTGCGATTAACCTCGTTTAGCATTTTCCTAAATCATTTTCCTTCACATATATACTTTGAATTACATTTGAGAAGGGCTGCTGTGATTTGAAAATTAATCTGCAATAGAAAAAGATATTCTTTTTGTGATGAAACCAAGAAGGTGGAGAAGACAAAGAAGGACACGAACAGCAGCCATGCATGCACAAACATGCATAATGCATAAAAAAAAATGAACGATTATCAATCTATCATCAGTAGTGCTGTTAATCGAGCAGAGTATTTGACTGTTGAACTCGACTCGTGCTTAGTTCGAGTGAGGGTTGAACTCGCTCAACTAAGCGGATGAGCCTTGAAGTGTGTTCGAACTCGGCTCACCTAATAGGACATGTGACTCGAGGTCGAGTTTGAGTGCGAATTGATCACAATAAAAACCTGTACATTTCAGTTTCTATTCTTTTGACTTGTAAAATGATATATATGCCTTTTCTTATCGAACTCAAGCGAGCTATTCGAATCGAATAAGAAACGATTCGAGCTTACTCGGTTCGTTAATTAATTAAGTAAATTTCTAGTTCGAACTCGACTCATTTACTAAAATTGACGAGTCGAGTTCAAGCCTTATCGAATCAAGTTCAATCGAGTTTTTGAGCAACTCGTTTTGTTTGACAGCGCTAATCGCACCCTTTCTAATTGAATTTTTATCAATTGTTTTGTGAATTCTGAAAGTCTTTTTTTGAACCAAAGACTTCCACGTAATCTTCAAACGTGGTGCAAAGTGCCAGAAACATCTGGGATTTTCCTTCGTCCAATTCATACCTTGACATGCATCCTCAACGCATTATGTCATTATGTATACACACGCACATATCTGCATGAAGCTACGTACGTACTTAATGGCTTACATCATACGATATACACGGAATCCAGCTGCTAGATATAAAGAATTATTTGTCCCTAATATTATGCTCATGCACTCTCGATACAGTTCAATTATGTTATTTGAAAATTATGTACTTTGTACGTATTAGAGTTGTAATTAAGAAAACATGGCTAAGATTGAGCAGGTCTCAAAAAATTGTACAGCGGCCACACGTTTGAACCTCCTTAAGAGATAGAAATCTTGAAGGATGTGAACTGAAATCTACATTAGTTTAATTGGTGTTGGGGATTTTGGAGATACAGAAGAGTGGAAGAAATACGGACTGTTATTCAAAGTTTGTTGGAGGCAACTGAACACCTCACAACAATAATCTAACGACATTTTGTACAAAATTACAAATAATTTGTTAATAATTTTGTGAACATGGAGGAGTCAACTCAATTACGTGGTGCCTATTTAAGGCAATAACTTGTCAAGGATAACCCGGATTTGTGACAGGTAATTACTGTAAGAAGTAATGCTGGGGTAAATTAATAAAGGTGATGACGTTTATTTACTGGGATTAAGTATTGAATGTGCCTGGAGAAATCGCCACGGCAATAGAGAAAATCTGGAAAGGTGTAACACCAAGGAGATTACACTGTCTCGTGGACACCGAACATGGCAGCAAAAATATAAGTTTGTTAATTCTTAGCCTTCATCCTTTGTATGATATTTTATGTAATGTGTTCATATTATATTGATTGTGTAGCATTTCAAGATTTTAAACTAAATTAAGGCTGTTCTAGAACCAAATCCAGACACAAGGCAACATGTAATTTAAGACGATCAAGCAAAGGAAGAGGGTTGTTTGACTTGTGAGCTAATCAGAACACGGATAAAGAGTATTAAAGTATTTGACCAAATCTTTGTTGTTGGCCAAAGGTGGATGAATCAATTACCTGAATTTCAACGACTTTGAAATTGCATGCATTTCTTACATTGAACCCAAAAGAAGGATCATTCACCTGTTGGATTGCCACTATTGAAGAAGCAACATATTAGGTTATTGCTTATAGCATTTGTATAGTTCTTTTCACGTATACTCTCAGAGTAAAAGCACAATTGTCAGGAGGACTTCAATAAAGCATTGACAATCATACATTAATTATGGTCCCTTTTTTTTTTTTGTTTGCTTTAAACATATGGTCTTTAGCCTCTTTACCTTTATTACTGAATCAAGATTCAATCCCTTTGAAGAAATTTTGTGTAAATCAAATTTTGGAGGTTATGGCACAGAAACTATAGGTGTCATGAATCAAAAATACTACTCCAAGAAATTACAGTCACTTAAGATTATTATCTGTGAAGAACTTGTGTACTTAATCATTTTCCATTGCACTTTTTCTTTGGCCTCTCCTTAAAAAACCAATTTCTCAGTCCGGTTGTTAATTAACTAAATCTCCATGTAGAAGCCATGTGTTACAGTAACTTAGGAAGCAGCTGCAACTTCAGCCATGTACAGGGAGGTAGGGGACCATGGCCACGCTGACTTCATATCAACAATGGAGAATAAAATTGTGATCAAGAATACGTGGATGGTCATAAATGGGCTGACCTCAGAGCCTCTAATGTGGAAATTATTGCTTCTACCACAGATACACTTGTCTTCATAACATTATGGGATCAAATTTTCTTTCTGATTTTTCACCAATATATGACAGCATGAGGAGACAACTTATCTAAACAAAGTTTGCTTAAGCCTCAAATGATTTGACTACGTTTTCGCTAGCAGTAAAACTTTAC